AAAAAAAAATCAACAAAAGAAAGGAAACGACCAAGTTTGGCTCCCCGTGCCGCGCAGGACGGGGCTCGTCGCCGCTGCCGCCGCAGATGAAGGGCGGCCGCGAGCGGGGCCGGCTCTGATGGATCCGCGCGGCGCGGCCGCGGAGCAGGAGCGGGATCAGGATCGGGATCAGGATCAGGAGCGGGAGCAGGAGCAGCGCCGGCGCCGCGGAGCCGCCGCCCGCGCCTAGCGCCGCGTCCCGCTTCCCTCTGCCGCCTTCTCGCCCGCCCCGGCGCCGCGGCGCTGCGCGCCTCTCCGCAGATGTTAGTGCACGGCTTCTCGGCCATGGTGAGTGGGCGCGCGCCCGCGCAGCGCCCGGGCCGCCGCGCGCTATTGTTGGCGGCGCTCGGGGCTGCGCGGCTGCCTCCGCAGGGCTTGTTGGCTTCTCCTCTTCCACCCTTTCCTTCTTTATCTTCCCCCCCCCCCCCTTAAATTTGCTGCTTTACCTTATTATTTTTMATTTTGTCTACTTCGAGCGAGCGGCAAAAGGCTTCGCTTGGACCCTACTCCCCGCTCTCTTCTCCTCTCCACCTGCGAACGGGATATTTCCGGCTTTCTTGCCTTCCTTTTATTTTATTTTCCCCTGTTTTCGGGGTTCCTGCCTCCTTCCCCGCTCCCCGCTCCGCGGCGGGCCCTGCCCGTTCCCGCGCGCCGCGGGCGGCTCCGGGGCGCCCGGTGCGCCGGGCCGGGTGCGCGGAGCGGCTCGAGCCGCCGCGGAGCCGTTTTGGGGCGCGGAGGGGACGGGCCGCGGGCGCGCAGGGGCTCGGCACGGCCGGGACGTCGCGCGGCGGCGTTGGTGAAACTTGCGGTGCGAGCGGCGGGCTTCCTGGAGCCCCATTCCGGCGTCCCCTGGTAMCAAAATGGCAGTGCCTTCGATTTTCCCTCTCGTAATTCTTTTTTTTAAAAAAAATTCGTTTATTATTTTTTTTTTATCCCTTAATATGCGTTAGCGGTAGCGTCCGCGACAAATATTTTTCTTGGTTCTGCTCGGAGCAAGTGGGAGCATTTTCCCTCATGGCAGAACGAGCGTTTTAGCAACGGGCGCTTTACAGCGAGGACGGTTTCCTTTTTTCCGTCCTGCGGGTATTTCCTGCTCCTGAAATTCTGGGGGGGCAGCAAACCGTGGGCACGACCTGTTCGGGAACCGGCGCCGTCCCGCCGCGAGGCTTTATTTATTATTGTTGTTGGTGGTGTTGTTGTTATTATCAGAGCGGCGCCGTTATCGCCGTTATTGTCGCTCCTCGCGGCGCCGCGGCCGTTCCTGGAGCGCGCGCCCCGCTCGCCCTTCAGCTGCCGCCTCCGCCTCGCAGCGGCCGGCGGCACCGGGAGGCCCGGGGGCGATTCCCGCCGGGAGCCGTTTGCTCCTTGCCCGTTTTACCCGAACCGTTCGATTTTGACCCGCTGTGCGCGAGCCGTTTGATTYTGGCCGGTTTCGCCCGATCCGTGTGATTGTGACCTGTTGTTTTTCCCCCCGCTCGCCTCCTCGCCCGCCAGGAGCGCCACGACAGCAGCAGCAACGGGACGGCGCGGCTGCCGCAGCTGGGCGCCGTGGGGCAGCCGCCCTACACGAGCGCGCCGCCGCTCTCGCACACGCCCAACGCCGACTTCCAGCCGCCCTACTTCCCGCCGCCCTACCAGCCCATCTACCCGCAGTCGCAGGACCCCTACTCGCACGTGAGCGACCCGTACAGCCTCAACGCGCTGCACGCCCAGCCGCAGCCGCAGCACCCGGGCTGGCCGGGCCAGCGGCAGGGCCAGGAGCCGCCGCTGCTGCACCCGCACCGCGGCCTCCCGCCGCAGCTCTCGGGCCTCGACCCGCGCCGCGACTACCGCCGCCACGACGAGCTGCTGCACGGCCCGCACGGGCTGGGCGCCGCGCTGCCCGACCTGCCCCTGCACGCCATCCCGCACGCCATCGACGACGTGCCGGTAAGCGCCGAAAACGGGAGCTCGGGGGCGGGGGGGTCCTTATTACTATTATTATTATTATTATTATTATTATTATTATTATTATTGTTCCCCCCTTTAACCGTTTGCGCGCTGAGTCGCTCCGCGATCCCCGCGCCTCGTCCGCGGCTTTGCCCGCCCACCCCCTCGGGAGGCGCGCGCGTGGAGGGGGAGGGGGGCGGGAGAAGAATAGGCGAAGCCCCCACCTAGAACAATAGGCCGGTGCCTCCCCCCTTTCCCGTGCCCCCCCCCATCCCCCCGGGCGCGCGCGCGCGCCCCCGCGCCGCCTTGCGCGGCCGTGCCCGCCAAAACGGGAATAAATCAAATTACTGTCATCGTTAACAGCGTGGCTCCCCTCTCGGCGACAATGAGCTGGGGGAGCGGCGGGGCGCGGGGCTTCGCCCTGCGCTGCCTTGGCAGGGGACGGAACCTCAGCCCAGGTCCTGCCGGGCGCACGGCGTGGGGAGAGGGGGAAAAGGTGGAAAAGAGGAAAAAAAGTGGGTGAAAGTGGCCTAAGAAGGGRGAGGAGAGCCCCTTCCCCGCGGTTGTAGTGGGCACGGGGGCTGGGGGGACGGGAGAGGCCGCYGCGGGGGACGGGCCGCGCTCCCCGCGCGGGGATCCCGCGGATCCCGTTCCGGGCGTTTGCCGCGCCGCCCCGCGCCGCAGCAAACGCCGGGAGCGCGTTGGGCGCTGCCTTACTGGGGAGGGGGGGGATCTAATTCTGTTATCAATAAATACAGTTAAAAAAAATGGTTTCTAATTAAGCATGACATTAGCACATGGGCTGTTTACGGAGCGAGCGGGGCTATTGTTCGGCGAGGAAAGTGGCCCTTATGCAACGGCTGCTGGTGATCAAAGTTGGTCTTTCCGGGTTTCTCCCCGAAAATGGAATTAGAACAAGCCAATAAATGTATTAAAGCCCGAGGAGCCCGTGTTAGGGGACTAAGGGCCGCTTTCCTCGCAAGGAAAATGAGAGAGGAAAAAAGAAAGAGGGAGCTGGGGTGTCTGGATGTGATTTTTTGCTGAAATGCCATCCCAAATTACAGGATCAAATATTACAACAATATATTCGCTGACAGTTTAATGATTACAGTTTCATGTTGCAAGGATAATGTGCAGATGAACTTACCTATTTCGGGGGGGGTCATTTTGAAATCTCTTGCAAATTATACTCGGGGAAAAATAGTAAATTTATTGCAGCCCTCGTCTGGCTAAATTAGCCACAGAAAATTGCTGGTTATGTTTAGCAGTTTTGCAATAAACGCACGCTTTCCCCGAAGTGGAGGATTTAGTCAGCAATTCGGATCCACTAAAACCAGGTCGATTCTTTTAACTTGATATAAAATAACACGGAGGCAACAGCAAGAATAAACTAATCTGCTGCCGGCAAGCCCCTGGTTGCTGCAAGAACACGACCGAAAATGTTCTTTTGAATTCCCCGTCCCTGCATTTGTGCCCCGGCGATTGTGCTTGGATGCAGGCAGGGGCATCGGGGAGCCTCCTTTGCACATAGATATTTCAAGTACAATTCGTTTTATTTGACTTTCAGGGATCTGCGAATTAACAGCATTGCTGTACTTGGTGAAAACCAAATGCCATCTGGTTCAAATCCTTAAACCAGCCTAGCCATTTTTTTTTCCTGTTCTGTAAAACTGAATCAGCAGGATGCATGAAGGAAAATATAAAAACAATAAAAACAAGAGAATGCATCTCTTAAGAGCATTTATTCAGTTGTACAAAAAGAAAGAAAGAAAAAAATCTATTAAAGAAATTTGGGTCTGGGAAAGGATCATTTCTGATTTTTTTTTCCCGTTGCTGCAACAGTTAACTTTCAGTAAAAGCAATGGCTAAATACTTAAGAAAATCAAGTTGACGGTGAAAATTATTTAATCGTAAATATCTCCGTGGGATTTTAAACTTAACAGTCCTCCCTGTATGGAATATGTGTAGAAATAACACAAATAAAAGTATTATGCCACACTACATTTACTTTATGGGTTTAGGGTGCATGCATAAAGGGATCATATTTCCCCATATAGTTAAAACACAAGAACTGCAGCAGTAGTCATTTCTGAACATTTCTCAATTTAATTATACTTAAATCCAGAAGCACTTTAGGCAAGTTACAAATGAGAGCATTGAGTATAATAAAACCTGTAATAAAGCAACTTAGTACCATCCACCCGGAATCATTGAGATCAGGCACAATTAACAGGAGCATAAATCCAAGACAGAATGGAAAATGTTAGAATCAGTATTATTGTTGGACAAAGACTAGAGAAGGAAGTAATAGTTTTTTAAATGGTAATGCCTGCGTTTTGTAACGATTGCGAAATCTTCTATCTCAGCAGCCACTGGTGTTAATTTGTAAACACAGCCAGACATTATATTGCCTGTCAGTTCTGCGCGCATTAGAAAACATGATTTCACTCGACTTTCTAATCACGTTTGGAGCCGGGCGCGCCACGCAACGGGCGCCCGCGGGCAGCGCCGCGGCGCTACCTGCGCACGGGAGCGGCCGCTGCGCGCGGGCTGCGCGCCCCTTGCGCGGCCTCTGCGCGCGGGCGACTTGGGGGCTTCCCTTTTGTTGCCACCGCGCGCTCACGCCGCTGCCCCGTGTCTCCCTTTTCTTCCCGCCCTGCAGCACGTAGAAGACCCCGGCATTAACATCCCGGACCAAACGGTAATTAAGAAAGGTAAGCGCTGCCCGGCCGCGCGCCTGGCGGGGAGCGGCGCCGTGGGGAGCGTTGGCGGGCGCGGGTCGGTGGCCGTTGGGAAGCGCTAACGGGCGCTCCGGGGCGCGCGGCGCTGCTCGGGCGCGGCCGGCGCTCCGGGGAGGCCAGGGCGCCGCGCTGCCGGGCAGCGGCCCCCGCGCCTCTCCCGGGCGGGACGCGGGGCGCGGGGCAGCCCGCACGCCCCCGGTGTCGCCCCGCGCGCAGCCCTTTGTCACGTCGAATTAGGCGCGCGGGGGATAAATCTTGAGAGATGCTCTTTCCAAGGCGGCGCGGTAATTGGCTCTTTTTATTAGTAATCTCCAGAGTTCGTTTAACTCCTGTTGTATCTATTAGCCTTCCCAGAGCTATTAATGTCACAAGCGATCTATCCAAAACGCGGCGCCCGCCCAGCCCAGCGCAGCGCGGCGCCGCGGCCGGGGCTCTGCTGGGCCGCCACGGGGCGCGGGGCTCGGCCGCGACCGGCTCCGGTTACGGCTGCTCCCTTCCCCACGTCAGGAGTTCCCCGCGGGAAGCGCCGCGGCGGCCCGAGCCCCGCGGGGGCTGTTTGAAGCCGAGCGCGCGTTTGAGCGTCGCCTTCTCGCGCTCTTAACGCGCAGCCTGCGGGGCGCCCTGCTCCCCGCTGCGCCGCTTGCGCGGCCACGGGCACCGCGGGCGCCCGCCCGGCGCTGGCCGCGTCCCGGCCCGCCCGGGGGCCGGCGCCGCCCGAGCCGCCTCCCTCGGGGGAGCCTCGTCGCCCTCGTCGTGGCCCGCTCCCCGCGCGCTCCTCACCCTCACCTCCCTGCTCCTCCCTCCCTGCAGGCCCCGTGTCCCTCTCCAAGTCTAACAACAACGCCGTCTCCTCCATCCCCATCAACAAGGACACGCTCTTCGGCGGGGTGGTGAACCCCAACGAGGTCTTCTGCTCGGTGCCGGGCCGCCTCTCGCTGCTCAGCTCCACCTCCAAGTACAAGGTCACGGTGGCGGAAGTGCAGCGGCGCCTCTCGCCGCCCGAGTGCCTCAACGCCTCCCTGCTGGGCGGAGTGCTGCGGAGGTGAGCGGGGCGGAGCGGGGCGGAGCGGAGCGGAGCCGCCGGGGGGGCGCCGCGCCGCGCCACGCCGAGCCTCGCCTCGCTGCCCGCCGCGCCGGCGTGGCCGCCGCGGGAGCGGGAGGGCGGCCCACGCGGAGGCCGCTTGTCTGCGTGTGTGTGTCGGGGGGCGCCTAACGGTCGCGCCCAACCGTCACCCCGCGCGGGTCACTCAGCGACCCGCCCCAACCGTCACGCGCGAGGGCAGCGCGAGCCCCGCCCCGCGAGGCGGGGGCGGCGCGCGACCGTTAGGGAGGCGGGGCGCGCGGTAGCTGTGGCAACGCGAGGCCGTGTCCGTTAACCCCCCTCCCCTGCCTGCGCTCAGAGCCCCCCCGCACCGAAGAGCCAGTGATAGCGGCCATGAAAAATAAATAATAATCACAATAGTAACAACAATAACAACATTGTTGTTGTAATAGCAACGATAATAATAGTTGTTGTTATTATTATTATTGTATGCATCAAAAAGTTTCAGCTCTCCGTTCAAGTGATACATGGTCACCCTCTGTAGGCGCCCCTTTCCCTGCTTCCCTGCGGGTTATAATCTAATCCAGACAATTAAGGAGTGCTTGGGTGGGGAATAAAATCCAGAATTAATTAACGAAACTCGGCTTTCGAGGGTGTGTGTAAAGCCACCTCTGCCCGAAAGGAGCAGATAAGCCGTTTCCATGTGTGCACGTGCTCGCCAAGCACCGCCGGGCTCCCTCCCGGCGACGTGGGCTCTCGACCTTGGAGATTAGTCTGCTAAATAATGCAGCAGCTATCGCAGGAGAGCCGGGTGAAAATACAGTTGCCCTCAGGGCCAGAGTGTGTTGGGAGTTTAGAAAATTATCATTATTCCTACTGTTATTGTGGCGGATGCTACCCGGCGGTGCCGGGGACTGCCTGGGGTGCTAAAACTTTTGAAATCTGTGCTAGTTTGTGTGTTGGTTTGGGCAGTTTTAAATGTGAAGCCGATTGCCCCTACACCAGCACAGGTACATTTTATACTCGGTTTTGCTTTCAGCAGTTTCTGCTCCTCGCTTCCTCACCACACAACCGTCCCCAAAACCCTTTCTCCCTGTCTCTTCTCCCTGGAGTACAACCTTCTCCAGTTGCTTTGGGGGCGATTTATATAAAGGGACAGAAATGCAGCCCGGTGTCCGACTCGTTGTCTTCTAAGTAGCTCTCTGTGTGAAACAGGGCGAAGTCTAAAAATGGAGGGAGATCTTTGAGAGAAAAACTGGACAAAATAGGATTAAACCTGCCAGCCGGGAGACGCAAAGCTGCTAATGTTACCTTGCTCACGTCGCTAGTGGAGGGTAAGTGGCTCCGTGCTCCCAGGCGGTTCGTTTGGAAAATGCCCGTGTTGTTTTTGCCTAACGGGATAAGTCTTTCTGTTTCTTTTTTTACTACTATTGTTTTATTTTATTTTTCAAGTTGGTTTTCTGCATTTGAAAGGCATTATTTGGTTTAATCTTTGAGTCTTGGTTAAAAAAGAAAGAGGCTATTTGTGTATTTTTGCCTTTTGTTTTAACCTGAAACGGTCTTAAATGGATCCTGCAGACTCAGCATTGCATTCCACCATGTATTTGCTTTTACGTCTTTGAACTAGATGTTTTCAGGGTCCCATCTTGCTCCCTCATTCAAGTGAGTAATCCCTCCCTGGAGTAAACGGTTTTCACTGGGAGCAGCAGCCATGGGAAGGATCCATGAGAATCAGGGCAACAGGCTCAGACCCAAAAATGTTGTGTGAGTTCAAAGCTACAGGGAGCAGATTCTGTAGCTCCTCTGGTGCTACGCTCCTTCCATTGATGCACAACTAAGCAATTTTACACTGTGGCTATTAAAAAAAAACTTTTTTTTTTTTTTTGTAGACCATCCCCCTTCCTCGGCAACATAACAGTAAATCATTTAAGATTTCTGACATCTGCATTTGAGAAATGCGTGACCATTACTTCCTGAATTAATTTGGGAATCCTTGACCTAAGCCATGAATTAATGGTGTCCTGAGAGCCTCAGAGTTGCACCCACCCCTCCTCCCTTTTGGTTCTCATTTTCAGAACATATGTTCCCTTCATTATGTCATTCTCCCCTACTTTGCTCTGGCAAGGAAAGGTGCAACTTCTTTTAACACCTTCAGGTGTCCCCTGTTTTCCAAACTCAGATGTGGGAGGCTCAAAGAGTTTGGGAATCATCTTGTTTTGAAATCCTTACTTTGTCACAGTTCCTGGTCCCAAGTAAACCTGACCCCACTAAACACATCCTGCTCCTTTCTCTTCATTTTCGAGGTTTGATTCAAGAGTGTTTTAGACTGATTTAGTCTGCTAAGAGCTTTCAACTCCAAGCCAGGACAGGCAGGGTCAGCTCAAGTGTGGCTGCTCAGAAGGAAGCTTGTGGCTTTGTTTTGGTGCTGCTTTGCTAGAAATGCTAAACATTCAAAGAGACTATGAGAGAAATGCTGAACTAGGCCAATATTCATTTTATATTATATATATAAAATATTCATATTCATATTATTAGCTGAGCTTTATCTTCATGCTTTTAAAGAGGCTTTGCAATTGCACCAACATGCTGTAGTAAAAAATCTGGAGGTAAAAATCTTGTAAAAAGTCTAGATTTGGTAGATGCTTCACATTTTTTGTTTTGTTAATGAGTGTGGGGAACGTTTTATGGTCATCTATTGTTCTGCTTGGCTTTCACCTACCAGGACTCTCAAAGAATGATTTTTAAAGGACAGCCCAGGCCTGCTTTGCAGATAGCTCAGGCCGGGTTTGGGGGGCAGACGCTAGCCTAAACATTGCTCGGGCTCCGAGGCCCGTCGCGATGAGGCAGTTTCTCGAGCACTGTTATTGTTTATGATCCGCTCCATTTTATGGAAACAAGCTCACTGGACTGAGGCTTTGAAGCCCTAATTGGCGCATGCGTCTTCCGGAGCTGGAGCTAATGGCAGGAAGCCCTGCAGTAAAAACCAACTGGTTCAGGAAATTAAAACCAAAGATTTGAAAATCAGCAAAACAGACAGACTGGGTGGAATGACCCTAAAATTCTCATGGTTAATCGTTTGGGGGTGAACATATAATTATATGCGATCAAGTTAAATTTTAAACACTTAGCTGTTTAATGCGTTTTATTTAGAAGAGCTCTAGGAGTAATTATGATCAATATTAATCATTGATGCATTGCAAGGGAATAGAGAGGCATGTACTTGAGGCAAAGAAATACCTCCCGAGTAAATAGCTCTGAATGAAATGTGTGGGTAGCTGGGGGAGCAAACATATTTCCATGTGAATATAAGCACGCGCTCTGGGCGGACGGAGCGGGCCTGTCTAGCCGACATGAACTTTAGGAAATGTGTGATTTCGCTGGTAACAATTGTCTTGAACATTTCTTTTGGCCTGGCCTTAGTCTGAAGCAAAGAAAATTCTTACAAGATGAGATGGGATTTGCATTCCTCACAGTACCTTTTTAAAAGAAAAACGTCCAAGCCTTTTAAGAGGAAAAACCCAAGGAGAAAATAGCCTGTGCGTTTTTTTTCTGGTGGATTTTTTTTTGCCTTTGTGCTGTGTATATTGATCAGATGTATTTTTCCCTCCCACTCCCACCCACGCCTCACTTTCCAGGAGAAGCAGTACATCTAGCTAGAGATTTTGGGTACGTTTGTGAGACAGAATTTCCTGCCAAAGCAGTAGCTGAATTTCTCAACCGACAACATTCCGATCCAAACGAGCAAGTCACAAGAAAAAACATGCTTCTAGCTACAAAGTAAGACATTTACCTTCCTGGCATGTTATTCAGTTGTGAGGGGAGGGGGTCGAGCCTGGGTCTGGGGCTCCTGTTTGTGTGTGTGCGTGCGCGTTTGCCTCATGCTCAGTGGCTAATGGCCTTGCAAATTGTGTCTGCCCTCATGCTAGAGGGAGCGAGGCCTATATGTAGCCCAGCTTGGTTCCCCTYCAGTCAGTTTATGCAGATTACCTTGGAAGAGGGTTGTGAAAATTGTGGGTGGGTATTTAGTTACAGAAGAAACAGTAATTGTTCAAAGCAAAGCGTTTTCTGGGCCTTTTCACGTGGCTTACCAATTTAGATAGGAGGCAAGGCTTCCCATTGACAGTAAAATAAAAACTGGCACGTTAAACTGATTTCAATTCATTAAAATCTGCAGTGGTGCTTGCTTCCTAAGCAGCTCTGTTACTTGGAGAGTGTAAGGATATTAAAAATATATTTTAAATGGCAATCTGTACGCCATTAAAATGCTAGTGGAGTTTATCATTGGTGGGGTTGCCTAGACTTCCAGGTGGTGCGTGAAGAGAAAATGATTGTTTTGATATGTTTGCTGGAAATTAAAAGGGTTGTTTAGTGGCCCTTAATTACCAATGGAGGTGTCACCAAAGGGCGTAGTGCCAGAGGGCGCAGGCAGAAGATGGGAGGCGGTTTCTGGCTGGAAGACATTAGCACGGTTTTCAGAGCCCAGACTGCTCTAGCACGGCCCTAAGCTCCTGCTAAGAGGCGTGTTATTCCCCCCGCCACTGGAGCAGCAAGGAAATGATAAAATGCAACTTCGGGACAATGCCCTCGCAGTCCCGCTTTTCACCTCCCTGGAAGGAAATTTCCAGAGCTCAGTTAGCGCCAGCTTTTCCCTGCGGGGGAAGGAGCCTTTGGGTTTGGAGAGACAGATGGGTTCACAAAAATGTTTCAGAACACCCCGGTTCAAAGCCTTGATTCTGCTCTCTGACTTCACTCTGTTGTCCTTCCTGACACCTAGGCATATTTTAGCCTTGTGGTGGAAGAGCTCTGAGTCTGTCCAGTTCCAAAGAGCTATCCTCCAAAATGTGAATAAATGCCCGAACCTCCCTATGGGTCTCGCACCCCATCTTTTATTCCGTGTTGCTGGGGGAAGACTTGGAGCTGCTGTAGATTCAGTGCCAAGGTCCTGCTCAGAAGGGGTGTGCGTGGGCAAGGGCACCCACGGGCGCGCAGGGCAGGCGCAGGGCTCGCTTGCTCATCTCGTGGGTGGGCACCCGTGCTGTTGGCCCCGGGGGCGGGCAGGGGCCCGGCACGGGCACCRCTTAGGGGGCAGGACGCACAGTGGGGAGGTGTGGGAGGGCAGCAGACCCCTGCCCGCGGGGCTGGTGTCAGGCGGCAGGGAGCGACGCGGGGGCTGCGCAGCCGCAGCCGAGGTGCTCACTGCTCTCGCCCTCTCCCTTCCCCTGCCTCCCTGCTCCGCTTGTGCTGCAGACAGATTTGTAAAGAGTTCACCGACCTGCTGGCTCAGGACCGATCTCCCCTGGGCAACTCGCGGCCCAACCCCATTCTGGAGCCRGGCATCCAGAGCTGCCTGACCCACTTCAACCTCATCTCGCACGGCTTCGGGAGCCCCGCGGTGTGCGCGGCCGTCACCGCCCTGCAGAACTATCTCACCGAGGCGCTCAAGGCCATGGACAAAATGTACCTCAGCAACAACCCCAACAGCCACACGGACAACAGCACCAAAAGCGGCGACAAAGAGGAGAAGCACCGAAAGTGAGGACCCCCCCAGCTCCTCTCCCTGCCCCCAGGTAGCCACCGCTCCGTGCAGCTCCCTCCTGCCTCTCCCTGCAGCCCGTGCCCCAGGAACGGAACGGAACGGAACCGGGCTCCTCCTGGCCAGCCCGTTCTCTGACTTCCAGGCCTGCTCTGCCCTCTGCCCACAGCCCCCGGCACCCTCATTTCCACGTGCTCCCGGCGAACTCGCTCCTCTCCCCAGCACTGCCGTTGTTTTACCCTGCTCTGGAGCCCCAGAGAACAGGACGGGGGGATGGAGCCAGCAAAGAAAAAAAGTTCTGTCTTGAGTTTGTGAACTTTTTTTTTAAATAAAACAAAAGGAGGAAAAAAAAACAAAACAAAAAAGGACTCTTTTTCTAAAAATATATTAAAAAAAAAACAAAAAAAAAATAAAAGCAAAAAGAAATAAATAATAAAAAAATTCTATGAGCTTCACCGGACTGAATCACCACCTTCCCTTACATAAACTTCAGTTAAGATTGTAGCCATATTAAAAAAAAAAAAGCGAAAAAAGCGCAACAGCGGCAGCAGCGGCAGCAAAGAAACAAAAGCAAAAAGGACTGATGACATTTTATCAGTATTGTGAATAAACTTGAACACAAAACACAAGCAGTTCCATGTCATATCTTCAGTTGTAGAACTTTTTCCTGTCCAAGGTAAAGCGACCAACTTGAACTTTCTATTGCAACACGATTCACGGTTATTATATAAGGGAATCAGTGTTCATGTATGTATATATTTATTTATGTGTAATTTAATGGGAATTGTAAATATGGTGAGTCTGTTTTAAGCCTTTTTTATTTATCTGGTGATCTCGTTTACCTCTTGTTTAGTGGGTTTTAAATCTTCCCCTCTTAGTTCATCATGTGGTTCATGGTACTTATTTAGATATCAGAGGTTTTTTGGGGGTTTTTCTCTGGGATTCATCATTTTTAGCCCTGTTGTAGCATGTTAAAGGCGACAATGAAGCAGCTGAACAAATAATAAAAAAAAAATGAATTTTTATATATGATTAGTATGACATTTAGTTTCTCATTGAAGAAAAAAATAAGTGATGTTGGACCCTGGCAAGATTTTTAAACATGTTAGTGGTTTTACAACCCCTATGTGTTGTGGAAAATAAGAAGTTATTTTCATCCACTGTCCTCCTCTTGAAAGAAAGCACCATCAGAGCAATAAATTAATACTGTCTTTTAAATCAAGGCTTAGCTTTTCTTTTCCCCTCCCACCTTTTTTTTCTCTATTTTTTTCTTTCCCCCTTTTGTTTTTCTCCTTTTTTTTTYTTTTTYTTTTTTTTTTTTTTTCTAAAGAACTTCAGACATTTGGGACCACCTGGTATCCTGTATTTCCACTGGCCATATTGGAAGCAGTTATAGTTGTATTGTATTGAGTTGTGCCGGCAGTAGTTTCCATGCCTGTCAATGTATCATAGTCCTTTGTTGCCCAGATAAATAAATATTTGATACGCTTTATGTCGATTTTTTTATTCAGTGGCTGTCTTTACCCAGGCGTATTTTTGTTCTTGGCAGTATTTTTTATTCAGTATGGTTACAGTAATTGAGTTTAACTCTCCCTTGACAATTGCTCCTTGCAATAAGCAGCTGAACCCATTGTTTCCCTCAAGTATAATAAAAACTTACTTTCAACTTGGAGTTCAGAGCAGGGTATCATTTAGATATTCCACTGAGTCTGTATTCAGACAAATGACACAATAAAGCACAATGTATTCTTTTGGATAAAAAATTGTCTGTACTACTAACAAAATGACACACTATCTTTTCTTTAACCAAAACATAATTTTATTTAAAAAAAAATAAAGTTTTATTTTATTTATGTTGACCTCTAGGTTTTTATTTACGTTTATCCATAGTGTACAGAATTCTAAGCCCGTAATTTTGCACGTGTAGTTGTCCTAAAGGAGAGTGGAGAGAAACACCAACATTACCTGTCTCAAGGAGGACATTTTAAAAAGAATAAATCATCGCAGGGCACAGGCTGAAAATCTGGTGCTGTGAAATAAAATGATCTAGCAACGAATCAGAGCCGGGTGCTCCCTCCCCTCAAGGCAGGGAGGGGAGGAACCTGGCTCCACAAAACCCTCGTGCGCTTCTGAACGCGGGCGAGACGTGTCGGGGGGCAGAGCGTTTCTGACGGATGCTCCGTGTTTCAGTGGGATGCGCGGATTGACGCGGAGAGGCGGCCGGGCCGGCTTGTGAGGAGCTGGGGGTTTTGAAGTTGCTTCTGTCTTGTGGAAAGTGGCTGTGGAAGAGGGAAGTTTGCGTTAGCGGCGGAGTGTGCGCCTGGCAGGCGGCCTGTCGCGGCTCCACGAGAGGGCTTGGGGTCTGAGTCCCTTTTCTTTGGCCCAAGGGGGAGGTGAAGCCCGAATCCCCCCGGATTGTATAAAATTGTGGGAGAAGAGGCTAACGCTGTTCAAAATGTAAAGGCATTTTAAAAGGACAGTCTCCTTCAAGTGCTCATGGTGTTTTGGTGGCGATGGCCGATTTCTCTCCCCTTGTCTCTCTGTTTCTCTCCCTCTCTTTTGCTTTTGCCCAGGCAGWAATCGAGGAGGTTACAAGGGAGGTGTTTACAATAAAGCTGCAAAGAGAATTAACATTTGCTTATATATTTTGACGTTTGGTAGGGCTGGTGAAGCAAAGCATTAGATAAAGCCCAAGATGTTTCATTTTGCTTTGGTAATCTGCTTAGGGAAGGCAGTGGAAATCAATCTTGCCAAGCAGAAAGAGAGTTGGTGGAGTCTAAATTCTATTTTCGAGAGCCAGCCAGTTTATAAAAATGGTGGATATGGTTTTTCCTCCCCCTTATAAATTGCAAGCGGATCTTCGGAATGCAAAGCTGCAATTGTTTTAAAAACAGTTATTTATTATTTCCAAGAGAGACTGGTTAACTGGAAAGTAGATGTAACAAAATAATGAGGTGAATGAACCCTAACTGTACATATTCTTGACATAAATGAAATGCGCCGCGCTGTAGCAGGTGAAGTGAAGCATTGTCTATCAGGGCTGTTTTTCTTGGCTGCATCTCAGATTGTGTGTGGGATCCTAACCTCGGGCACAATCGCATTCATAAACAGCAATACATTGCTGCTCTTTCTGCAGCAGCACATAAATACTCATTTTTAAACGAAAACAATCTTATTAAATACCATTCATTCATATCTGGATTTACAGATGCTTGTTACTTTTTGAAACCTGTACCCAAYATAATCGCTTTACACTGGGCAATGTACAAAGCACTCTTATGCTAGAGCATTATAAGGTCATAATAAACAATGTTTTAAAGATATAATTAGCTGCTTTATGCTCGGAGAGCACATTTTAAGCATCCTTCTGCTGCATTTGCAAGCCCCCAGAAAAGGGGAGCGAAATGTCCTGGCGAAGATTTCTTTATTATCCCTGCTATTTGTCGGGAAGGAAGGGATTCGCAGCGAGGAGGGCGGTGAGAGCAGCTGCGGCGCCGCGGCCCCTTGTGCCCTGCCCCACGGGCGGCTCCCAAGCGCGCAAAAAGGAATGCTGTGGTCTTTTTCCCCCTTCTTTTTGGCTAAAATCAGGGCTGGAGGGGAGGCGCCCGCTGCCGCGCGGTGCAGACTTCACCCTATGAGCCGAAACGCAGCCGCTTTCCGCGGGAATTGAGGAGGACCCTCCTCTTGGCGCCCTGAGCTGCCCCACCCTCCCCAAATCGAATATTAACAGAATTTGAGATTTAACTGGTGGAACAGCCATCAGGACAGCAATGCCCCGCAGCTGAAATAATATTTAAAATAGAAGGGGGTTGACATTTGAGAAGTCAGTGGCTTGAAATACCCAGTTGTACTTAGCTAATTCAGTCCTTAACCTCTGGTTTCGAATAAATCAATTACAGTCGATTCCACTTCAGTTCAGAAGTGCACGAGGTTTTTAGTTAATTGAATACACTTTATTCGCTTGCTGGGGGTATCCATTTATCCAAACCCTTGCGTTTGCGGGTGGCTTTTTATTGCACGGGATAAAGGCGCCCGCGATGGGCGCCGGGATGGGGATGGATGCGACCAGGAGCGCTGGCGTTTGTTGCTCCGGCGGCTCCGACGGGAGCGACGAGGAGGGCGAAACGGGGGGAAGAGGAAGGGCGGCAGCAGCCGTGTCCCGCGCGCCGGCCCCGCTGCGGGAAGGAGAGGGGTTAATCGGCGTCATTATCAATCACCGCCGCTCGCCTGACGCGTCCAAAGGATAATCAAGCTGGGGGGGCTGCGYGGCGCCGGCATCTGCTTCATTCCGCTTAAAGATTTCTCTCCCCTGTATCGTTCAATTATTGGAACCCTGCCCCGGTTTCGGGCTCCGTCAGGGCCATAAAGCAGGGTCAGATCGTTAGAAATCTAGGATGGAGGGGAGGCTGCAATATAAATAACAAATGGCTTCATTATTTGAGTTACAGGTGCAAGAGCGGCCGTGAAAATGATGGGCGCTCGCTAGAACGTGCTCCTCCTTTTCTCATCTCCACTAAGGAGGGAAAAAGAAATCCGCCAAGCCTGGTTCTTCAATCAAATGGTTGTTTTGCATAGGTTGCAGCCTCTCCRTTTGCAGCGCTCGCCTTAGTCACCTCGGATTCTAAAAAATACCTAGCCTAAAGCGAGCAGCGGGAGTGGAGGAGAAGCAGGAGCCTTTCGAGAGCGTTTGCTGTGGAGCTGCAGCCGGGCTCTCTCGGAGCAGCCGCCTTCCCCTCTTCCGAGGGCACTTTCTGGGCTTCCCAGCTCGGGACAACCTGTGTTTGGGGCGGAGCAAGAAGGATCGGTGTGTGGTGCAGGGGATGTCTGTATCCCTGTGGGAGCCCTCTGCCCTGCTGCTGCAGGCGCCAGGGCAGCAGATCCCTGCTCTCCTCCTCCTCCTCCTCCCTGGCACGGCCAGGCCTCTGCGGCCCCAAGAAAGCGCAGGGGCCAAAACCCCCTCGCAGCTGAGTCACTCGGGCATCTTCTCTGCGCGTGGGCAATGGGGACATCTCTGCTGAGGGGGAAAAGGACACGCTGGTTTCCAGCGGTGCTTGTCCTGGGGCCTGGGCTTTGCCGGGCAGGCAGGAGCAGCCGGGGCCTGTGGCTGCACAACGGCCTGCGCGCACGGGCGTTTCAGGGCTCCCCAAAAGCGGGAAGCAGCTGTCGGCTTCGCGGTGTGTCGATGGTCACGCGGGGCGGGAGATGCGGCGGGACGCAAAGCGGGAGCTCCTTCCCTGCGGGCCCGCGTGCCGCGAGCGCACGCGCCGGCCCCGGCGTCTGCGGGACACCGAGGCCTTCCCTGTCCAAGATGTTGCCGGGTGCCACCGCCGCTGCCCCTGCTTGGGCTTTGGGCTCTGGGCTCGTCCCCTTTGTGACGCTCTGTTGAAAGCAGATG